CCACGCCGCAAAGGCTAGGCGGGACGGGAAGACAAGTCGCGCCGGACGAGTACCGGCCGCCGCSGATCGTCAACTCGTTCACCGACCGTCGTACCGACAACCGAAAMACGGACAAGMAAWACGAAACACCGACTCGTGTGCGCTTGACAACGACACTTAGTGTTATACCGTTTTCTTTTTGTTCATCCAAGTGATTATCGAATAAACGTGGCCTAGCCACATTTCACCGTACCGTTAGTGTTAAGTTCTTGGGTGTTCCCACACCACACCACTATTACCTTACCACACCTGACCGGCCGACGCTTCACCACCTCTCGCCAGCATCGCCGTGTCAACTGTATGTCATTAATGATTTTTAACTTATATTCAGTTGTGTTATTTATGGATATATTAATAGATTATTGATTAAATGCACAAACTTTTATAGTTAATAATGAAATAAAAATTGCCTTTAAACTTACTTGGAATATTTCTTGGTTTGGAGTCCTTTTCATAAATTCATTTATCTGATTCAAACCCTTAAATGCAGCAACCCACGGTACATATTCGATTTCATGTTTAAGATATTTCAAAAGTTGAAACGTGATTTCATAGTCAATATCACCAGATTGTGAAAAGCTAAATGAATCATCTATCAGCTGTACTCGGTTTAACTTGTGTATAGTTGTGTATTTTTTCGGATCGTTCAACGTAGAAATGATACCCATCCAGTTTCGTGTATCATATAAGACTCTGAATAAACCTAAAACAAAAAATATGAAAATTATAGATTTTAATTATTTGTCAAGAGTCTAAAACGATTTGATTCAATAAAAGTCCATAATATGAGACCTACCAGCCATCTGCATGTTATAAATGACCCACTCGATGTCTTTAGACAGTGATTTGGTGAGGTTGTTGTTTTCACAATTCAACCACGACTCAGCTTTTGTCTGGTTAAAATTAGCTTCCTTAGAAGTAGTCATAGTGATTGGTATCCACCAACATCTTTTATCTTCGGTATTCTTTGATTTGATCGTCAGAAACCGTTAATACGTGTATGATAAAATATTCAAATATCTTTTTATTAATAAACATATTATAATAAGAAAGCCAATTATTATTGTTCGTGAGTCTACCTGTGATAAAGTAACCGTATCTTTGGAATAATCCCGGACAACTTTCAATACGGGATAACCGGCTTGCAACGTCCATTTGTCCATTATTTGTTTCACGGAGAGATTTATGTCCAAAGTTCCTTGGCGTTGAGCTTCCTCTGTCAATGAACTCCATAGATCGTCATGATCGGCATTGGAAAACTTATATTTTTTTATGTAATTCCTAATACCTTGTTTGAACGTATTTTCACCAAGGAACATGTTTATCATGTGCAATAAAAATGAGACCTTATTGTACGATTGTATGTCCATAACCTGTGATATTTCATAGGGATATCCGACAATATCCACCAATAAGACGTTAGACGATTGAAGCGAATTCAAAAAGTTTTGAACGGTTTGGAATTGGAAATAATTCCATTCTGGGTACAACTATATAATATGAAATAATAATAGCATATTAATATGATCACGTTTTTGCAAAATAAATTAAAAATTAAACTATGTGACGGTAATTAAACTTACAAAGTCCACTCCAAATGCTGAAAAGTACATGGCAAATCCTTCATTCAACCAATAGTCAGTCCACCATTTCATGGTAACGAGATCACCGAGCCATTGGTGAGCAAGATTTTGAGTAATAATTTCGGCTACTCTAAGTACATCATAAATTGTAGCCACATTCAAATCAATTAACAGTACAGTCTCTCTAAATAAAGACAATTTTTTTTAGTTACAATAACAAAATAGATTTTTTCTCTTTTTATGATTGTGAGTATAATCAGTATTTTTTTTTGTTTACAGATTTTGCCAAAAAACTACTTTTGATAAATTTAAATCATGTAACGAGACAAAACGGAGTGCCTTATGTAAGTGGCGCACTCCCGTGTCTCGATACTGTACCAATATCAATATGCTACGACACCACCGCGCGCTCTCGTGCACATCACGTGGAATAAAACGGCCGTGAGCGTACGGTAGGTTTGTGAGGCGCAACATAGAGGGCGCAGCCAAGCAACTGGCTACAGAAAAGGCCGCGACCCGCCGGAAAACGCATTTCCCCAAGAAACCCGGACATCTGGCAACAAACGGTTTTCAGATTCGGCATCAGCGCCCTTCTATCTATCAGCTTGCAACTACCAAGTAGCCGAAAGTATCGCTGACTTGCCGAACACGCGGAAACCAAAACATCACTGCTGCAAACGGAATGAATACATACAACAGCATAAGTACAGGCCGTTGAGTGCGGTGAACTAATGAGCCGGACGGTATTCAACTCGTGATAGACACGGGAGTGCCACAGGCTAGTGTTCTCAACCACTAGTCTCGAACAAGAGATCATTGCCATCCATTCAGTGGACTTCCGGAGAGGAGTCACAACCACCACCGACACACCGAGGATCGGGACAGTGAGACTACCCACAAGGAACCACTACCAACACCGAGGATCAGGACAGTAAACTACCTGAGAGGAGTCACCACCGTCCAAAGGAGTGTAACCACTCTACACACGTCGACAGACGGGATTTATACGCCACCAAGTACCACGGCGCACACTTTGTTGCAACGTCGGGAACCGTTCAACCAAAACTACCGAAGACAACCGTGAGTTTTATGTAATCATTCCCACCATTTTTTGTAAATCCCGTATATCTAATTTCAATGTAAACTCTTAGAGTATAAATATATATATATGTTCAACACATTGTAAACTAATAAATGTAATATTTGTACTTGAAAATAAAGTTAATGAATTGAATTGTACAACCCAACAATATTAAAATTCGTTACAATCACCAAAAGTTTTTACTGAATGTCTTATTATTTTTGTTTTATAAATTATTTTTTACCAATAAATTTATTCAAAATATGATTTTGTACAATTTATTTAAATTCACTGATAGTGAAAATATTATGTATGTGGCTTATTATAATATATTATATTGTACAATATATTATATTGTACAATATTTATAAAACATATTATCTTTATTAGTCTTCACAATAAAGTATTACTAAAATCTATAAATTAAATTATTTTGTGGCAGATTAATATGGGAACGTATTTTATAGTAGTTTTAAGCGGAAAGATCGATTTTGGAGGAAAAAACGATATCCCCGTCTTTAGGTAGGTAAACAAAAGTTTACACAATATCAGTAATAAATAATAATAACCAATTCTATGACATCTATACTTTCATTGTATTGAAGTTTAAACGGGAAATAAATAATTATTAATTAGTATCGACCTCAGCAATTATGTTTGATTGCGGTGTGGAGTCTCAGCAAATGTTATGGTTAATACGGAAACGAAGTTAAGGCATGACAGTACTGAATAATATTATATACTATGTATAAAATGTTACAGTTAAAACCCGAAATCTGTCGAACCTAATATTAGCTAGACAATACTAACTTTTCCAATTCAAACTAGAAAATATTATTAAACTCAAGTTTAAATTATTTTAATGAAAAAACTAGTTATAACATAAATGTAGGTGTTAAAAATAATAACATATGTAACTAAAGAAAGAATTCTATAAAAACTTTAATGCAGGTATTCATTATCATCTTATAATTTACCAAATAAAATAATAAATTATAATGCGACTACTATCAGTAAAAATTATTTCGATCTAAGTTTATTTATCGAACAACCAAAACCAGTTTTAGTGTTCCAGACAATAATATTTCCCTCCGCGACAGTAAAAACAACACGGAGTTAAAAGATGTATGACAGTTAGGACGATACGAATAGCACACACAAAAACGATCGGGTTGCCTAAAAGGACTGGCTTCATGGCTTCATCACTAGTTTGCAGCGATGTTGCATTATCAGCCACACGTAATGATATGGCAAAAGGGTAGAGGTGGTAGAAAATCCTAAAACTCTTGTCATCCTATGTGCTCTCAAATATCAATAAACAGAAAAAGGCTGCCAAAGGCGGTTTGAACAGTTCAATACGGTATATAATACCTATATATRAAAATATTATATAAAATAATTTGACACACTCGAAATTATGAAAAAAAGTAATTTTTGGTTACTTCACCTACATTTCACGACAAATATTTCTGCTCAAAACAATAGAATATCAAATATGATTATATTTCAATGATCAATATTGTTAGAATATATTTATTTAAATTATCTGCATGGTCGATTTTACYCAATACTCATTACATATTGATAAATTAATTATTTTTAAAGGTTATCTATATGAAAATACATCGTAGTTCAGATTTCCTGATTACGTAATAACCAAATGGCGACGATATTTATTAAAGAGTTGTTATTTTAGAATCCATCAGCCTACAGTCAGTTAGAAACGTGAAATAACGTCGTGAATATGAATCCTAAAATAGAACTAGAAATTCGATTCACTGCAAAAATACGTTTTACTATAATTATTGTATAATAAAATATCACATAATAAGCACTGCTAAAAATAAAAATGTTGACGTATTTCAATATTATATTATTATATACTTATAATTCAGCATTGATATTAATTTACAAATGTTAATTGTACATACCTATATGTAATGAGACCACAATTCTCCATWGAAAAGGCAAAAAAATCGGGTATGRCCACCATGTCTTGTTTGGACAACGGAAATTTTTTGTTGAAATAGTCCTCATAGTATTTCAACRCCTTTGGTCCCAAGTCGTTGGCAAGTCCTGTTTGATTGGCCGCATCTTTTCTAGCTATTACACGAAATTCCACTCCTTTGTCTTTACTATCCGCTTTAAAGTATGCGAAATCTGACACCATGTATGCTACTAAATAAGTAGACATCGGTACAGATTCATTGAATTCATCGAAAACATAATCTGGCTTCGAAGGTCTACAACATGAAATTACCACATTTATCAGAATGTTATTCAACAATATATTTTTTTACGATCAACAGTATTCTTTCAACTTTATAATCCTGTATCAATTAGACTTACAATGGCGTTTCGTTCATAAATTTCATATTACTAATCGAAGTCAATCCTTTTTTGTGACCCAATCTTATTTTGAAGGTTGCTTTAAGAGCAGGCTCGTCAAAACAGGGAAAAGCACTTCGTGCGTACATTGGTTTAAATTGTGTTACCGCTAGCCATCTGGGACATAATAATATATGTGGGTGGTGTGAACGGAAGAAAATCATAAAAAAAAAATGTTTATTCTATAATATGTTATGTGTGCTTTGCACTTCATCAATAAAATAATAATGTACCTTGTTTGATTGCTCTCCTTGTCCACATAACTACTCTTATAGTAACCTACTAAATTGTCGGTGATGTTTCCAGTAAATGGTATGGTCAGCACATATTTTTCACCCTGCTTAAATTGTACGGTTGACTTGACGAACATAAGACCATTCCCCTGATCAAATAAAACATTATCCACCGGGATGACATTTTTACCACCGTTGGAAACAACAACACTTTTGCTATTGATGTACAAACTGCTTGAATGCAGTATTATGGTGTCGGTAACTTCTATGCAAMTCATCTAAATACATTAATAATTATAAGTGAAGTTAGAATAAATTATTGTTATTTTTGTAGTTTTAGTAAAATTAATGTAAGATGTTGTTGTTGGTGGCTGTAGTAAGAAAATTCAACTCTGAAATACCCGACAAAAAGTATAGTTTTTCTAAAATATTCAAATAAATTTCAAAGAATTTACAACATTTTAACCTGTATATGATATCTTATAAGATATTATTTAAAATTAGAAAAGTTTTCTACAAAAATGTRTATGTTTTGTTTTTATTTTAAAATGTCATATATTTCTAAACACTGCCTTTTCTGAAAATGTTGAATAATCATTTGTTAATGTGACTTGTATCACGGATTGTTACTCACGTAAATATCAACCGCTCCTTCAAACCAAAATATATCTTCCAAGTACGTGGTCACGTTCAGCTGATAGCTGGCGGGCTTAAAATTATTTGGCAATTTGTAGTCCAAACTTTCTTGTGAATTAACAACCGATCCCATGAGGGATAACGCGATGATAAATGTCATTTTAAAGCACATGAACTCCATTCTAAACAGATTTTAAACAAGCAAAATATAAATAGGTAATATAATTAGGGTTGGGGGTTGTCTGGCCGAAAATCTAGTGGCCGAAGGTTTTGTGATCGAAAAGTCATCTGGTCGAACACATTTTTTATCGAAAAATATAATATCGAAAACTCAAATGGTCGAAATGTTATATAATCGAAATATTTTATGGTCGAAAAATATATATTTTGAGTTAAATATTTAAAAAAAAAAACAAAAGTAAATAATTAAAAATGAACTAAAATAGGTTGTAAAGTCACAGAATTTTGAAACTTTTTATTAGAATATTACATAATATCATTATTATAATCTTATAATATGTCCAAGTCCTTTTATTACATAACTCATAGTATTTTCCATAATCTCTATTATTATGCATGCGCTCATTAAATATTATAATGAAAAAAGAACAACACTGTTATGTAATACTAGTCCCCTGACCTCCCCCACATGCAGTGTCCATCGCAACGACGTTGCTGTCGGGCGCTCCGCCGTTGCTGTCGGGCGTCCTGGTCACAGCTGCTGGCGCAGCTAACCTACGGACAGGGCAACCTGTTTGCCCCACTTTTTACATTATACGAAAGTTCGCGACGCGACGACACTGACCACCTTTCTACCCAAGAACATCAAGACGCCGGAACGGCCCACGACCAGCCACCGACGTCTACTGCGGCACTTGTTTTCTGTTCTTTCGCCAGCATCGATGACACGTCTTTTTATACTCGTTTTTTCTGCTCAACGTCTTTTGACTCTCGAAAAACGTCTCCCGGACTTGCAATTATTATTTTTTGTTTTCACCATCAACGGAATACCGCCATGAARCGATGTCATAGGCCCGTGGCAGGCGAAGCCATCTCAAACATCATCRACTCAGTACAAACAGTCGTCATCAAGTATTATTTTTCCCCCAACATTCCCCTTTTTTCATTTTGATTATGTATCACCCTAGTTTCTTTTTTATATACTCAGATTTTCCTCAGAGGTGCCCCGGTAACCGACATGCGGAGCCGTGGGTCGTTTCCTTTATTACAAATAATATGTTATAGATATGTCATACTGACGTATTATAAATCTCACATATGTGTTCGGTAACCGTTCGTCGGAGCCGTAACGTTAATATTCATTTTTATTTCCTTCCTTATACACTTGCCATGTGCCGAAATATTATCCATTTTATATTTATTTTGTAATTGCCATGTGCCGAAATATTATCCATTTTATATTTATCGTATTTCTTTGATTATATTTCTTATGCACTTGCCATGTGCCAAACTATATTAAATTGTTCCTGACATTGCCATACACCAACTTTATATTTTAAATAATTTATAAGGAAAACGACAGCGCCATTATTATTATTTATTTAATTTATTTTTTGAATATTGTATAAAAATACACTCGTATGATTACCCTAAACTTACTATACTCCGACACTCCGTACCAAATAAAAGTGCACCGGGCGGCCACAGGCAAAACCGGTTTTGTTACGTAAATTTGGTGCGCTCTTATTTGGTACAAGGTATAGTCTCATTATTTCTTTATTAAATTAACTTGTTTTCTTTCCCCACATAAATCTTGGAATTTCATTGCTCCATGCGTGTATCAAAGCCTGTGAGTTCCACCGACTTGGCCCTCGGGTCTCACGCGGTGTGGCTCACAGGTCACGAGGAAAGTGTTCCCCTTTCCTCGTGGGTAGTTTTTGTGACATAAAAATCACAAACTCTCACAAGGTATTATATTATGTAAAAAAAAAAGTTGTAGTAAAATATTAAAATAATTTGTAGGTATATATACTAGTATTACTTATAAGTATTTGTATAAATGCATCTAAAATCAAATCAATTTTTTCGGATTTGGTCATCKCTTTGTTTGTTTCATTTATTAAGATATTTATGTTCATCCAAAACTCTCCTACAGATTCACTAGATTTTAATTTTCTGTTTTTTAATTTATWTTTTAGMATTTTTGWTCTTCCGTRTGAGGCAAAGTTTTCCTTAAATTTAAGCATTATTTTTTCAAAAGATAATTTTGTTCCAGAATCCATAATTTTAAGTAGTTTATATGCCGATCCTTTT